TGTGTGTGTGTGTGTGTGTGTGTGTGTGTGTGTGTGTGCATCAACCTCCATGGTTTTTAAATATTCATGAATATACTGTAATGTCTTATTTCAGTGCCTTTTATGTTTCATATTATACTTTATTTTGTTGAGCTTCACTTGTGTTTGAAAAAGTGTTTTAGATCTAAAATTAAGCTGACCTGTTCTCCATCACGCCCTTGTTCCTGCAGAGATTTGTCGGGAACGTCAACTCAGAGAGCGTGGTTCAGAACAAGCTGTCCCACCCCGTGAAGACTCGTTTCCTGCGCTTCGTCCCTCTTGACTGGAACCCCAGCGGTTACATGGGCCTGAGGGTGGAGGTGTTCGGATGCTCCTACAGTGAGTAACACCTAGCCTGCAGTTCACACGGCTATCTGAAAGCACTCAGCCTTCCGGAGTTCCACCTCCCGCGTGGTTTCTTCCATTTATTCACCTGCACCGCTGCCATGCTCTTGATGGAGAGTAATGAGGACTATTTCCTCTTCACTCGCTTTTAACGCACTGTTTGATTCTCCAGGCAGCGGTAAAATGAGGGGGGAAAAATCAAAAGGCTGACAGCTAAGGTGTGAATCACATGCACAGTCACATCCCCAATTTAAGCCCAACTCAGCCCCCGAACATCTTCAGGATAGATTCTCTTCCAAAAGCTTTTTTAGAGTCAAAAAGAAAAGTTTAAAGCAACAAAGTGCTTAATAATTCTTCACTTTTTAAAAGTGCAGTTCTATGATTTTTTTATTTGTTTGCCTGTTTGTTTGGATAATGGATGACTGAAAGTTCACATCGACACATACAGATGATGAGGTAAAGAAAATGCTAAAAGCAAAACAAAACAAAACAAACTGTTTTTCTTTTGAAGGAAACAATCATCTTGCACGGTAAAAAAAAAAAAAAACAACCTGCTTAGCTTCATATACGTTATGTTTCTGTGAGCTTTAAACACCTCTGATGATATCACAAACATCCCAGCATAATCAAACAGACCGTCTTCAAGAGTGAAAAATTATTTATTACAAAAATAAGGACACCGGAAGAACCACAGTACAGAAAAATTATTAGAATTGCAAGAAACAAACAAACAGTACCCAGGATTTATAAAATTTAGGGTTTTGGTACCACCTTGATGGAGCAGTTGTTGGATCACATTTGTGTTGTGCCTTTTATACTCAGCTGTGAATTGTTTGGGATAATTGATATAAAAAGCAAGTAAAAACACTAGAAACTTGATACTGCATAGCGGTAACATAATGACCCCCACTCACACAAATGCACCAGAACTCAGAAGTCTTTATTCCTAATAAATGTCTTGTTACTAGGTGCATCCCTAACTGTAGTGGTTTGGGCATTGGTTGACCTGATGGATAGAGCTTCATCAGAGCTAAACAACCAAAGAAATCTGAAGCTCCTATTTTTAAAACGTTTTGAGCTATAACCATTTTTGTATGTCCAGATACCCCTTTTTCAGATAAATTAGGGGTCTGGTGGGGTGGCGGCACTGATTGGTGGGCCTGATGGATAAAGCTTCATCAGAGCTAAACAACAAAAGAAATCTGAAGCTTCTATGTTGAACAGTTTCTGAGTTATAAGCATTTTTGCATGTCCAGACACCCCCTCTTTGAAAGGAGCCCCCTCCTCAAATATGGGGTCTATCATAAAACCGTTGGCTGGCGCAGTGTAGGTCGGATTCATCTACAGTCCTGCCAAATTTCATGTTGATCGGTGCAGCTGTTTTTGTGCTACGGTTGACCAAAAATCACTGAATAAAATAAAATAAAATAAACTGTACGAAAACAATATGACTCCCGCTTACGCTTCACATGCGGGGGTCATAATAATAATTACAGTAGACTAAAATGCAAAAGGTAAACAAGAATCCCAAAACTCCTGCAGGTGGAACTGTGCGGCTATGAAAAGTAGATGTCTAAAAGGTGCAGAACTTCATGTATCAGGGTCGACTGTCTCATGATTTGGACCTTCTGTCAGATCAGCGTCCTGATCTCATAAATTAGGGTTGCCAGACCTCCCTGATTTGGATGACCTGACCCAGGCTAAAGCTGCCCCCAGAAATGTCCATGATTTTAGCATCATTTTGTGGCAGGGCAGTAGTGCAGCAGAGAGAAAAGGACCTGTAAAGTTTTCAGGCTATATCCACTGTTTACTCTAAATTCTCAACTATGTATTTTGGAAGGGGGACTATAAAGTGTGAAGTATTTGAAAATCAATCCCATCGTACTTGACTGCCTAGCTTCGAGCAAAGTCTCTTCAGTTCATAAAAATGAACAAAACCACAACTGTCCCAACTTGATAACAATTAAATACTTTTTTTTGTCTCAGAGTTGAAAATGTCCTCAAAGAACTTTAAAATTAACTTGAGCTCATGTACAGGGACACCAGCATTCATGTCTAAACTTGTTTAGAAACACGCCTCTCCCGAGTTAGCACTGTGCTAACATATTAGCTTCAGCTTATCTTGTTCATGGTGTTCACTTGCTTTAGGTAAAGACCCATAAACCACACAGAACAATGGTCCCAGTCTCCCACAGGCAACAGCACCAGCTGCTCCACTGTTTAACTTTCTGTCCTGTTCCAGCCTCCATTCAAAGACCAGTCCGAATTTACATACCAGTTTAAACAGACCAAAAACACTGTTTTCTCATGAAAATGAGTCAAAGTATTTAAATAAATTTAACAGAAAACGAAATGCATCTGAGACTGTTATATGTGTAAGATTGGGTAAAATATGAATTATTGTTATAACTTAATTAATAAAATATATAGTAATGAAAAAAAATGACAAATCAATGATTTGTTGTTTATGAGTCTCGTTGTAACCTTACCTTTAAATTGAATTCTTTGCATTAGATAAATCCCATTAAATTTTATTAAGGCACAACCAGACGTTGAATTATGTTTGATACACCATTTATTTACAGATTATTATGATAACAAGCTATTGCAGTTCTGTAATGATGACAAGAAAGTTCCAAAATGAGATTGTGGCAGAAAATGACCAAAATAATAACAAGCAAAATATAACAGCTCTAATGTAGCTGTTTGATCCAGATGTAAGAAAATTTAGTGTTCGTTAACTGAAATTGAGACAAAACCACATAAATGCTGAATAGATTAAAATGTGAAGAAAAGAAGGCCATACAACACCAGTGACTGCAGTGAGCGCTGGTTTAATGTTCTCTGTGCAAACAAGAAGGCAGCGCTGAATCAAAACCTGAAGTCCCGGCATATAAATACATGTTCTTCAGCACCTGGTACGCCCACTACTGGCCTATGGCTGAATCGCAGACACTCAGACAAAAAAAACTTGTCTTATGTTTGATTAACGGGTCTTTTTATGTGTTGTGATGGTGTTTCGGACATGTATGATGTATGATGAAATGTCATGTTTCCACTGAAGTGAAGAAAACATTGGGCCTCATGCAAGAACCGTTCGTACGCACAGATTTGTTCTTAAGTTGTGCGTACGAGTGATTTAGGAG